CAATACAAAGGAAAGGAAATGTAAATAGAAATAAAGTTTATAAGAGTAGAAAGAAAAAACAGGAATACCTTCAACTCTCTTGAACTATACTAATCTAACTCCAGGACGGCAAGTTGGACGTCAGGTAATTTGAAGTAAACTACCTTCTAACCATCGACTATGTCAGAAATGTCAGAACACCCTATAAACTATAAAGTAAAAGTAAGCAAATATGTCCGAATTTGTCAAACCCATTAAACTATAAGTAATTAAGAAATATTAGACAATCTCTGTATTTATATATGGTGTGCTATTTTGTCGCAAAAACATTAGAATATTTTAACAATTTCTGAGACCCAAACTAGGATTCCATCCCAATATTGAATACCCTCAATCACAAGCCATGACTCCACCCCACTTTATTCGGTTGACTTCATAATGAGTGAGAGAAGCACCAGACTGAGTGGACTTAAAGCTGATCCTCCCGCACACAGATTGCTTTCGGGATCGCCATGCTGGTTCCGATTAAACCAGAATTTGGTTTTGGACTCCTGACTGTCGGCTGTTCTCCCGGTGGCGCAGGCTCAAACGTGTGGACTCTCCTACTGCACGGTGATCTGAACCTCAGTATGACGATGACATTTATCAGCAGCGTTGCCGCCCTAGGTAAGCTGATTGGCTCTCACTTATATTTGCTTGTTTCAGTTCACGAAAATGTAATTACGAAAACCATCGGCATGTTATAGCTCAAAAATTATTTTTGCGTTGGTCATGCAGACTATCGAATCTTGATTTGACAGTTATGCACCACGATACATTATATTACAACCGTTCTTGAGTAATATGTTCAAAGATAAAGACACATTTAATGGCTTCGGCTAACACTACATAAGATAGCCAATATATAAGCTTAACTCGACGTTGTTCTGATAGACCGCCTCTGACCGGAGAGACCCGAGTTCAAGACACGAGTATGGCAGCAAATTTGGCGGCAACAGTGGATTTGGGTATCACAAGCCGATGACGGCAAATATGCCGGAAAACGCCTTCCTAGTGTTCAATGTCTTCGATGGTCATGTACTTCTGCCTTTATCCTAGCCGCTTCGCAGTGA